AATTATTAAGCTAAAAGCATATTTCAATTTCATCCTGCTATTAAAATTTAAATGAAGTATTAAAGAATTAAATTATTAAGTGTGTATATTAAAACAAAACTAAATTTATCTCTTATCCGAATTAAAATTAATATTAATGTCGATGATCAAATATTTGAAGAAGTTAGTATGTAATTTTATATTTAGTTACATAAAGTATTGTATATCCCATCGTTTTTCAAATTACATTCATTTCAGTGACAATATTTTACTGACAAGTATTTCATCCTGCTGGTCAAGAGTTAACGTTTATTGTGAATTTTAATTATAGTGAATGATCATTAATGTGAACATTCAGAGTTATAGTTTTATTATTTGTGTCTTTCATATATTTCTAATTATTAGTACGTAGTTTTCGGTATCAACAAACAAAATCCAGAAGAATGTATTTTTGTACTGTATATTTCCAAAAGTTTCGTCTACTTATTTAAACTTTATTAAAGAAAAAATAGAACTAAATAAATTAATCTAAATATTACTCCCCAAATTTTCGTTTATAAAATGCCGATATATACTTCCACTAAAAGTAACATATATTCAGAACAGTACAGAAATAATTATAGTTAGAATGAATTATTATACTTACCAAGAGCAGATGCATCAACTAATTATTTAAGTAATGCGTATAATAATATCACGATAAGTAGAATGCAGACTTTATGCGATTAATATCGTTGTTAATATTGTAAGTACTATAAATACTCGGTGTTTTCATGAAGGGTGTAATTTAAAGCATGAGACAACCGGAAGATTAATTCTTTGTTCCAAATGAAAAATCTACAATCGATTTTGTAAACTTATCTACTAAATGTGTGTCAAATTAAGATATTTGACTTATCTATAAAATCTACACAGTTTTACAAAGCCAAAAGAGCTAACATATTTTGAAACTGAAATGAGTAAGATGATCGAAGATTTTTTTTTATCATCCAACGATTTTTTTTTTTAGATCTATACTTATTTTTGTTAAATATTTAAGTAAACTTATTTCAAGTACGTATTTTATATACACAAAGTGTATTATTTTCTATTCATCACCTAATTTTACCTTTACTACAGTCGTTTTCGATTACTTTTGATACTTAACAAAGTATCGTTTTAACTCTGAAATAGCTGTAAATATAAAGTAGAAATAGTAATATATCAATCTGTGACAATTTTTCAGAGATTTACTTTTAACAAACTGAAAACAGTTATAGTTAAAAAATTTAAATTTTGAAGAAACTTATTTCTTACAAGGAGGAATCAAAAAAATCCCAAAATTGTTGCTATTAAATCTTCTATAATTGTATGCAAAATGTTTCAAA